GATGTCACCTCAGCCTCGTTTGGTGAAGCTGCTTCGCCACACAATCTGAAATGCTGATGGCTGGCCACGAGCTTGACCTATCCTAAGGATTTAATTAATCTCTTTGCAGCGTCCCACTGACAACTCCAGCAGTTTGTGTTATGACAAAACGTGGCCATTAACTGTGGGTTGGTTATAAAACAAAAGCCTTGTTTCTAGGCACTATTTTTTTTTACCTTACGAAAGGGTGGAAGGAATGGGGAGATGAAAATATTACTGACACAAGTGAGTCAGTATTAAAATGTTTTCTTTTTTAAGAGGGAATGTGCTTAGACCACACCGTCCTCAGTGTGCGTTGCACTGCCTGGAGCCTCCATGAGTACCGTTTTCATATTTCTGATGGCTGTGAATGAGGAGAGGGTCAACTTTCTCCCCAAAGATTATGTTATTTCAATGACCATTGATTTCTGACCATTCGTGCTTTCTCCACACACACTCCTATCTAGGAGCCACTCTCAAATGGGCCCATATAATCCTTGCTTTTAGTCTTGTCTACAGTGGCAAAAAAATCAGTTGGATAATTCAGTAACTGGTAGAAGTTTTAGCCTCAGGCTTGGTTTTGTTTTTAGCCATGAGGGAACGTCCAACACTGCCTTGCGATTCTGTGCAGCAGCATGCACATCTGGGCTGGAGTCACATGCTTACGCTATTACCGTCCAGATGAGCTTTTTATTTTCTTTGCTCAAGTAATACTGAATTAAGCCACTTCATTACACTTAATCGGAGCCAAGGGATACTTCCAGGCTGTGAGCTTTGGTGAAGATTTGTATTTACTGAAGCTTTCTCTTATCTCCTGCCCTCCCCAACTCATTTATTTCAGAAGAGCAGGCAGGTTTCTTTTTCTTTCTATTTTTTTCCCTCCGAGGTGCACACTGCCTTTCTCTTGCAGACTGCTGGTTTAAATCCATGCATGCCAGTTGCCCTGTTAAGGATTATTTGTGCCCCAAAAGTATTTTATTAGCTACCAATAATCACCCTAGACAACTGTTAACCTCATGAAAGCCAAGATTAACATAGTGACTTTGAACTTTCTCTCGAGACTGCCAATGTTGACTGAACAGGCACTTTCCTTGGCTTTGAGAGATGAATTTTCCTGACCAGAAGGAGTATTTGTCAGCACAACAAGATAAAAAAAGGTGCTACTTCAACTCCTTTGTTTCACCTGCTAGTTCACCAGCTAGATTTCAAGATGTGTACAAGCTCTTCCTTATGCAGTAAACTGTCATCAAATGTCAGGAAATATCAGGCTGTTATTCAAACTATTAGTCCAAAGGAAATGTGACACAACTTTTTTTAGTATTTTTTTTTTAAGTCAAAGGCAGATGTTATTTTCTGGCTCATAAGATGTCTGCTAAAATGCAACAGAAGCCTTACAAATATTTAGCAAGTTCCTTCAAAAAATAGTGCCTTTTCTTTTTTTTTGTAATTTAACCTTCTAGTGTTCTCAAACAGGAAAAGAAAACATTATATTCCAAATTAATCCACTGAGACAAAAGAGGGAGAAAAAAAGCACTTTGGATTTCCACACCCTCCTTCCCCAGTAAAAGCAAGGAAGTAAATTGATGATCAAAACCCAAAACCAGTCATAGGATACAGGTCCTTATGGCATACCAGAAGAATCTGAGGCATTTTCCCCCTCCATGCAGAGATATTAGTGAACAGCTAAATACAACTTTATAGTATTTGTTTTCAAGAATGTTCATAAGCCAAAGTCCACCCAGGTCACCAACACGGCTGCATGACTGAATCTGTAACAGCAGCAGCCTATCGAATCAGTACTTCAACTGATTCTGCTTCTAATAGCTTATTTTAACTAACTTTTAACACCTGCATATTTTTTATATATAGAGGACAATTAATATAGAGGACAATATATATATACACTTTTATATACAGAAACAGAATACATACATATGCATGTATTTATATACAAGCACACGTGTTTTCATAGGTGCTTTTATGTTTTACACGTAGATGAAAGAGTCCTTTAAGCTGAAAGGAAAAAGGGTGGAAAAGAGCACGTCCCTTTTACAACTGCAAGAATCTGTGAGCCACGTTTTGGCCATCTCTGCGCAGATGGTGTGACAAGTCCCCGCAGACTCACCCGAGGCACAAGGGGGTTTTTTTTTTTAGCAAAAAACGTCTCCCTCCTTCCCACCAGGAAAAATAAATAAATAAAGAAGAAAAAGAAACAAAAAGGGAGCCTTGAGGGACTGGATGAGTCAGAGGTTAGTAATGAACTACAGACACTCATCCCTGGGTCAGTGGTTCACGCCTAGCCCATGTCAGGAGGGACAGTGAACTGTTGGCAGTCTGGAACTAGAGGAAGCCGCTTTACGATTCCCAGTCCCAATGGTGGGATCCCCTCAGCACGGCTGCCAGCAGGAGGGAGAGGATAGAAGGGAACTGAAAGACCCAAAATAGTCTCCAGCTCTGGAGTGAGACCACCCTGGTGACCCTCATCTAAGCTGCTGCCTCTGCTCCACCTGGAGGGAAGGCCTCTAGCACCCTGAGGTGCCCAGCACATGCAGACACCAAAGTGCCCAGTGCCAAAGGACACGCAATACAGCTTCGCAACACAATCTGATTTTGGCACGTTTCTGGCATGGCATTTGAAACAAAAATATGAGGTGCCAGCATCATTGCTGTACACAGAACTAACAGCCACTTTCAGAACAAAGAGTCTGCAAATTTGTTAGGAACAGGGTATGTTAGGGACCGTGCCCTGTACTTTTATTCTCTTTCCTACAATGCATTACTTGTTTGCTCAGTTTACCCTGAAAGAAAGTTATATACATATAAAAGTTGACAGTTCTCCTTAGAAGAGGCAGCCTTAGACCTGACATACTCTATGCCCTGCCTTGGTGACCATCCCAGAGCAGCACACTGATTGCTTCCACAGACACTTGGCAGAGGCTTTCCTCCAGCTCCAGAGGTGGGATCTCTACTTGTGAAATCTAAAACAGACCAACACTCGCTATTTTTTATTCAATGTGGCTACAAACGAACAATACAGCTAACATCTATGAAATCTGCATGACCGTCTGGACTTCCATCAGCTCTTCAAGTGGGTACTGATGTAACATCCTAACCAGCAAGCACATTACCCCAGAAGGCACTCCAGCAAACCGCAACTCGAAGTGCAAAGGGAACGCTGACCTTTTAAAACTAACACCTTCCTCCCCATCACTTACATACCCAAGTGTTCCTCCGCATTTCTGCAGAGGCCACACTCCCCACAGAACAACCATTAACTATTTCATGTTGCCCTCACAAAAGCAAATCATCAAAGGCAGATCCCCCCGGAAACAGTATCAATGGAAAGGCTGGAGAATGAAGGACCAGAAAGGAAAACACACAGGAAGCCTTCGTAGAGGAAAGAAATGGAGATTTTTTTAAACATTGCTATTTCCGATTTCTTTTTATTTTCTGCCTGCAGCAGAGGAACAGTTACAGTCCTGACACATTTCAGCAGAAGTAATGAAACACTTTTGTACCAGAGCTTTCCTCTGACATTTAACTGACCATGCATTTCCAGCTTTTTGCCTTGCACGATTCCCGCATCAGAAACATTACCCTTTTAAAATTAATCACTCCATTTACACTTGTTTGGATTTATGTGTCACAGTTTCTATTTGGCCTGTCTCTATTTTGCCTCTCCCACTGCCACTGAAAGCCCAAGAGTGATTTTGCACCTGTGATCAGCATGCTGAATTTTCTTCTGCTTTATTTACTTTAATGTAAGTCTACCTGAGAGCAGGTCAAGCCTGTGATAATTTCCAGTATTTTTCATAGAATCATAGTGGTTGGAAAAGACCTTTAAGATCATCGAGTCCAATCATAAACCCAACACTACCAATTCCACCTCTAAACCATGATTCCTAAGCACTTCTTCTACCTGTCTTTTAAATATCTCCAGGGAAGGTGACTCCACCACCTCCCTGGGCAGCCTGTTCCAGTGCTTGATAACCCTTTTGGTGAAGAAGTTTTTCCTGATATCCTATCTAAGCCTCTCCTGGCACAACTTGAAGCCATTTCCTCTCATTTTATTGCTTGTTACCTGGGAGAAGAGCCTGACCCCCACCTCTCTACACCCTCCTTTCAGGTATTTGTAGAGAGTGATAAGGTCTCCCCTCAGCCTCCTTTTCTCCAGGCTAAACAACCCCAGTTTCCTCAGTTTCTCCTTGTAAGGCTTGTTCTCCAGCCCCTTCACCAGCTTTGTTGCCCTTCTCTGGACATACTCTAGCACCTCCATGTCCTTACTGTAGTGAGGGGCCCAAAACTGAACACAGGACTCAAGGTGCAGTCTCACCAGTGCCCAGGACAGGGAGAGGATCACTTCCCTACTTCTGCTGGCCACACTGTGTCTGATACAAGCCAGGATGCCATTGGCCTTCTTGGCCACCTGGGTACACTGCTGGTTCATGTTCAGCCGGCTGTCCACCAACATCCCCAGGTCCTTCTCTGCCGGGAAGCTTTCCAGCCACTCTGCCTCAAGCCTGTAGCATTGCATGGGGTTGTTTTGACCCAGGTGCGGGACCCAGCACTTGGCCTTATTGAACTTCATGCCACTGGCCTTGGTCCATTGATCCAGCATGTCCAGATCAAACAGGCTGTGCCTTTATGCTGGTAGTATTAAAGGGGAGTTGTGTATTTCAGCACACAAGAGCAATGCCAGCATAATAACTTCAGTTTGAAAATCTACTGCCTCACATCAGCTTCTTGCTTTGTTTAAAGACAACACAAAGGTGGCAGCTAACTGACACCCTAGGCTACAATACCTTCTCCAGTTGAGGTCCATTTTTGCCCATTTTCTACAAGGAAAGGACCATGCAATAACATAACCCTGCTAATGTGAACAAAACCAGTATTTTTTTAGCTGTCCTCTCAAAGTGAATGCACAAGCTCAGCCTTCCCCAGGACAGCAGCTGGTGGCACAGAGCAAGCCCCATCTTGCGTACCTGTTCTGATGTTCCTGCAGCACTTGGTAGATGCTGATAAGGAAAGTTTGGTTTTTAAAGCTCCCCACAACGCAGTCCTTGTAGATCCGAAACTCAGCGGCTGTGACAGCCTCGCCCTCAGGAATCTGAGACAAATTAAACTTGAACTCCTTGTGGTGCCGCTGGTGAGGCGTGAACTCCTTGTCATACTCAACTGCAGATGGGAAAAGGAAAGAAAAGGAAAAAAAGGAACCGTGACTAAAATTTCACAACAAAAGGTTTCCACATACTGCCACCTGTTCCTTCAAAAAAACCCCAAGAATCCTGTTTTTTTTTCTCCAAAGATAGCCTTGGCAAGTGCCAGGAAAGCTTATGCCGCTAAAGCCTTTCAAATACAGTACTCGGAAAAGATGAATGTTCACCTTCTCTAGCCAACATATTGAAATTTCCTATTTTTTAAAGAAAAGCCAGCTTTGACAGGTGCAATATGACTGTGTATTTTGCTCCTGTGTGAAACCCTGAAGCTGTGACTGACCCCAGCATTTTCCACCTGCGGATCTCTATGTTCTTAACAGCATTTCCTTAAGCCTCACACCCCTCTTCCAACAGAGGAGACAATTAGTTCCGTTTTGCTTTAGCACATAAAAGCACAGACAGAAATCAGTGTTAGCACCAGGTCAACCAATTCCCTAACTGTCCTAAAAACTGCTGTTTTCTGGCTCCCAGGTTTGTGCATTAGCCATCAGGCTGCCTTGTGAGCAGAATTAGATTAACATGACATTTATTTCAAGGGTTAGAGGTAACCAGAGCTCCCCTTCCTTTTGCAGAAGCTTATTTGAGAATGAGAGAGGGAGAAGGAGTGACCACTTTTGGTTTCTGGCCTTATTCCTCCTCAGGTATGCTATCAGGTACAGAGTTTAAGACAGACGCAAACCAGAACCCCTCCTTCTTCAGGCTTCAGGATTTGCATTTTCTCTATTTGAGGCCCCCTTTGCAAACTCTGCTTCTAGTCCCACTGTTGTATTACTTGATTACATCTTGGTTTAGTCTGACTTTGATTTATTGTTCGTTATTTCTTCTAACTTTCCATTAGAAATTGCTTAAAACATTAACGTACTATACAAACATACAAAATTGTATCTTTAAAAGCCTGAGGGGAAAAAATAATAAACCCAAAAACCAGTTCCCACCAGGGGCAGCTGGAGGAGCATCTGTCACTGGTGAATAAGACACCATTATATTATCATCAGGGACATGATTACATTCAGAGAAGGTGGTGAGGGAAGGGAAGTACAGATTCCTTTTCACGTTCGTCTTTTTGCTCACTTTTTGTTGCTCCCCCCGCTTAATACATCAAACTGCAAAGGCGTCCATGAGACTACCCTTACAGCATTCCATGAGGTAAGCAGCACTCCTCTTTTTACAGCTGGGATACTGAGTCACCGGGAGAGTGACTTGTCCAAGGACAGGCAGCAGAGGCTTGTGGCGGAGCTAGGAATGATGGTCAATGTTCTTGAGGTTCATTGCTTTACCCACAGGTTACCTCCCCGGAGAGCAGACACACCTCCTGGCCACTGGAAACAGCTTGTGAAGATTTTCCCCTCTACCTTTCATGAGTGCCTGTTCCTCCTCATCCCCTAGTCCCAGTTTCATCTGTGTCCTCTCCCTTTCCTTTGGCAGCCCTTTCACAGGAGCTGCCTCATCTGGCTGGGTCCACGTCCTGGCTCCCTGTGAGACAGTTAGTCACATCCTTCTCTTTGAAGCTCGCCTGGAAATCTTTTCACCTCCGGATGACTGCTGCTGAGCATTTTGTGGGACACCACACTTGGAGATCCTGTGTTAAGAGCTGCCACAGGGCGACCAGACAAACTCACAAATTGCTGTCAGACTCTGACACCGCTGCCAATTTTGGCAGTCTCACACTGCATCTGTCTGAGCAGTTTAGATGTCAAACGGCTGACAAATGTGGGTGACCAGACCTTATGGCTTCCAGAAAGGAGGTGGTAACAGCCAGCATCTCCATCAGAGATTGCACCAAGGCAAACAATGGTACTGCTCGCTTCCAGTGCCACCTAGGAATTACCTCGCTGGCCATCAATTATTGGTGAACTGGGCTTCTCTTTGAAGCACACACCTCTGCTATTAATTGGGAATGATTCTGGCAATGCTGGATTGGTTGGCATCACTCTCATGTATGCCCTCCAAGAAGTGGCCCTTGCTGCCTGGGTACTCCCCAGCTCGAGGTGAGCTCCTCAGGACACACTTCCTAAAACAGAATGGCCATGGACTTTCAGAAACTCACAAGCACACAATTTGGCTCCTTGCAGCAGAATGGCTTGTCCAACTTGGCCTTTTTACTTGCTGCTACAAGATGAGAGGATATAATTAATGGTGAGGGAATGTCTAAATCCACAGGTTTGGAGAGACACATGTATGAAGCAACGATTCTCAATTTAGAACTTACAAAGTCCTTGCTCACAGGTGCAATGACCAGCCAAAACCCAGATCCCCTCCTGCGCCATCATGAAGACAAGCTGACCTGTGGATGAGATGCTGAGGATGATAAAGGCGGATCAGGAAGAGCAAGGGGAAGGACACAACCAGGACAAGCAGCAGAACCCCATCAGGGTGCCAGAAAACTAAAGTTACATCATAGAGAAATAGCAAAGGGAATATTCAACGTTTCCTGCCAGCTATGGCCCCAGGTCAAGACGCGACATGGCCTCTCCAAGCATATGAGGGTGAGCATGGAGCTGTCCCACCCGGCACGGGGCTCAAAATGACCCAAAACATCTCTTTTTGTTCCTTTCATACCTCAAGTCAGCTAAAGCAGTTTGCCTCCACTACAAAATACACAGTTTAAAAGTGATAAAGGCAGGCTCCAGTCCTTCAAATCAGTATTTTTCCCTACCTCTCTTCTAAAATGTCAAATACAAGCCACAAGAGGAAGAAAAACCTACCAAAACATCTACTACAGAGCATCAAAAGTAGCAGCAGGTATGACACATGACTCCGAGTACCCTTTCCCAGTTTACAACTTGCCTGATATATTTACAATAGCATTTTCCTGTTTTTAAAAACTTTTCTTCCTTTATCCCTGTCCTTATCCAAATACCCCACACAATCACAGAAGCTGACTAAACTGATTACAGGGGAAACATTCAGACTGATTTTGTTATCAGGCTTGGCAGAGTAAACAAGCTGAAACACACAAACAAGGAAACCTTTTTTTCATCCTTCAGATTAAGTACTTTAGCTTTTTCTGTTGTAAGAAAGGCACTTTCAGAAAGAAATACTGTTAAGTTGATGGTGTCCCCCTCAGCTGCATTTAGAAGCATCCCTACAACATCACAGGATGGAAAAAAGCCTACATTAAGCTTGTATGAAGCAAGTATAAAAGTTTAATGAGTTGGAAAGTTTTTCTGGCTATGTATCTTCCCATGATACAATGGAGGGTGGGTTTTTTTTTCTTTGTGGGAGTGGTGAGATATTTAAGTTCTATATACTCATTGTCACCCCATCAAATTAATAATCAACTGTTTTCATTCAGCAAGACAGCTTTAAAAATATAAAATGCCAACAGTTCTTCTCTGGGGGCTTTTTACCCTCTGGAAACTGTTCATTTTTAACAAAGAAGTCAAGTTTTAGAACAGTAAAATTTGGAAAGGCAAGATCCGAGCTGCCGGTTCCCAGGATTACCAAGTCGCTATTGCTATCGCGTTACAATACATCAAATGACCTCGTATTCAAAATGCAGACAGCGCAGGCCAAAACGCGAGGCAACAGCAGAAAGGAGAAATCATTTCTCAAGCTGCTTTCCAATTATTATTTTTTCCACGTGAATTCATTCAGGTCGGTCTGATTGGTGACATGTGAAACCCAAAGCTAATTTCCCTCTGAAGACGGACATGTGCGTGTCCCAACTGTGCAAAGCCCTCGCAGGGAAAATCAGGCACCTCACAGCCGGGCAGGTTGAAAGCCAGCAGCCCTGAGCAGTGCTGGCCCCCCATAACTTCTCCTTAGTGCTGTCCAGAACATCACAGAATCACAGAATTGCCTAGACTGGAAAAGACCTTTAAGATCATCGAGTCCAATCGTTCCCCTAACACTGACAAAACCATGTCCCTCAGCACTATGTCTACACGACTCCCAAATTCCTCCAGGGATGGGGACTTCACCAGTGCCCTGGGCAACCCCTTCCAATGCCCGAGAACCCTTTCAGGAAAGAAATTCTTCCTCAGATCCAATCTAAACTGCCCTTGGTGCAACTTGAGGCCATTTCCTCTTGTCCTGTCACTTATTACTTGGTTGAACAGACCAACCCCCACCTCTCTACAACCTCCCTTCAGGTAGTTGTAGAGAGCAAGAAGGTCTCCCCTCAGCCTCCTTTTCTCCAAGCTAAACAACCCCAGTTCCCTCAGCTGCTCCTCATCACATTTGTGCTCCAGACCCTTCACCAGCTTCATTGCACTTCTCTGGACATGCTCCAGTACCTCAGTGTCCTTCTTGTGGTGAGGGGCCCAGAACTGGACACAGTACTTGAGGTGCAGCCTCACCAGTGCCCAGGACAGGGGCAACAGCATTTCCCTGGTTCTGCTGGCCACACTATTTCTGATACAAGCCAGGATGCTTTTGGCCTTCTTGGCCACCTGGGCACACTGCTGGCTCATGTTCAGCTGGCTGTCCACCAACACCCCCAGGTCCTTCTCTGCCTGGCAGCTTTCCAGCCACTCCTCCCCAAGCCTGTCACGCTGCCGGGGGTTGTTGTGGCCAAAGCGCAGAACCCAGCATTTGGCCTTATTGAAACTCATACAATTGGCCTCAGCCCATCGATCCAGCCTGTCCAGATCCCTCTGCAGAGCCTTACCATGAAGCAGATCAATAACCAGCTTGGTGTCATCTGCAAACTTACTGAGAATGCACTCGATCCCCTCATCCGGATCAGGACCAAGGCAGGCAAAACCAGGGATTGTAGGGTCATGACATGAACTACAGCCATATAAAATTAATCCTCATGATTGGACAATATTATCCTGAACATATTACTCATTTGTCAGAGAGCTCCTTGGTGCATACCAGGGTGAGTTGAGGAAGGAGATGGCAAACAGAGGTTTTAGCCCATCATGGGTGTGCGTCCTCTGAGTCAAAGGGTCTCTGCCCCCATCCTGGCTGGGGTTTTGGCTGCTCCTTCACTTGTGACATGAAGGAGGATCTGAGCTGTGGACATCAGGAGCACTCGCCCCTGAGTTTTCATTACA